CTGTCAGACGTCAGTCTCCTTCTGCATAGCTCGACAGGTCATTGTATTGTTTCTTAACACAGTATGCGATGTTTGCCGAGGTAGGTAACGCGTAAAAAAGTCAAGGATGATCAAAGAAAGACTTGGAATAAGCGTGTGAAAACCCTGATCCAGGAACTTGTTGATACAGGTCACAAATAGCTTCTGGATAGAAATCTAGAGATAATTATAATCGATCATTGGAGACAATGATTTTTTGGATGAGAGTCGTAAACCGTGGCACTCGTGCTCATTGTTCTTGCAACCTTAGTCTACTACTATTCTTTATTACTACCTTGGCACTGTTTTCAACATTCCAACCTTCTCTTCATCCAAATGGATAGCTAGAAGAAAGTAACCAATACCGCCGCAACCCCCCACCCACATCCAGACACCTATGCTGGCGATACAGCTCGATCAACTGGAACTGTTTTCGCGACATCTTAGGTTCTTGTCGTGTAAAATTTCTTTTTTATACATCTCAGACTATATACCAAAGTTGTTAGATGAATAAAGCCTTACATCTCCGGGCTCTCAGTCTTCTCTCTCGAGCAAAACCGTCTGATGACATCTCGTATTCTGAATATCGCAATTGATTCATTTAGTAGCAGACCGGGGTGTATGCGGAACCCGGTAGAAGTAGCATGTCTGACTCTGAAGGCTGTGGGCACTTTTGGGGCATCCTCCGTTCTTTGGTCTCCACCAGGCACTCAGTTCTCACCTGTGGCTCCAAGAGGCTATTTCGGTGCTACAGCGATCACACCCAGGCAAACCGCTCGATAGGTGGGCTACACCAGGTTGAGAGTAACTGGGATTTCAACTCCCAGCAAGTCGGTATCTAACGACTTCATCATCATCGTCATTGTACAGCGAGCTACAGAGAAGCGAACTTCATTGATCGCTACCAAAATCGCAATGCATACAAGGTTAGTGATGTGTGAGGTGGATAGGGATCGGACATATTTTGAGAGGGGGAAGAAGGACAACCTCTATGGTCAACACAGTGCGCGATCGAACTCTGTATACAACGTCTAAAGTATTTTGAACTGATAAGAAATGACAACAAGAACGCCAATGCTATCGGTTCTATTTTTATTACACACCCAAGTGTGACGAACAGCAGGTGGGGCGAACCCCATAGTCACGAGGACCTGTTATTTACTGGTGTAAACCGGCAACCTAATGCCCGGGACTTGGAGTGGCTAACCACAAGGCCCTGATAGGTTAGGCGTGGTATTGGACCGGACGACAGCGGAGCTGCCTACCACCAAAGTCGGGTGGCGGGGCTCGAACCTCGGATCACAAGGTTCTAATCACGCCGATGACAGCGACTAAACCACTGCGCAACGACCACCTCGTTACCACATCCTTTCAATGTCTCCAACCAACCAGCCGCAGTCTTTTAGACCCCAACCTGGAAGGCACGAGACACCTGTTCTACTTAATAGCTCTGTACATTTCTTCATGTCTCGTCTCCTCGTCATCTGTTGACCTCCACGTGGTCTCCTCCAGCCCAAGGCGGCAGTGACGGCTAGGCATGCGCAACACGTGCCCTATCCAGCAAAGCCGATACATTCACAAACACGATAGCTTAGCTCCAGATTACTAACCCACCTGCTCCATCCCATGTGGGCTAAACTACGTAAACACCGATAGTCGAAAAGCTCTAGCCGATGGATATCTTTTACTCACCAATTCAAGGTCTCACAACCATAAAGCAGGACTGAACGAATGCTAGCCCACTAAACACGAACTTTCGACTTCAGTAAAACGTCGCGTACATGATAAAGGTGTTTCTGTCCTACGTACGCTGGTCGAGCCCTAGAAATGCGGGTGGTTGTCCTTTACTGCGCTACCGTCATTTGTCACACAAATACCTTCGTAGGAAAAGCAATCCACTATAACTTATTCTTGGTCATTTAGTTGCAAAGCGGGAATAGGTGACACCCTGTCCTGCAGCATCACTTTGCACTGTGAAGGTGCCAAGCACATACCAAATGTGGCAACAGAAGTTGGTCTATCAAGTGAGCTGTGCGCGTCCTCCAAACATTCGAACAGACAGACGATGTCG